GTTTAACGAGAATAGCGGTAATTTCGTATGGATGATGTGCATTAATTGTATATTTTGAGCTACTTGTGTAATTATGAGGTTTCTATATTGAAAGGTTTTGTATTATTGTGTCTATTATAATAATAAATACTTATTTGATTTAGATTATATCCATATGTAGTTTTAGTTAGAGTTAGTAAAAAAACAAAAGAAACTCCTATAATGGGGTGTCTGGACAGCTTACCAACATTTTAAGAAATACATGTTCTTTGAAAACCTTCAGTATACCATTGGTGCCCAATATAGCAAATTATCAAAACGTAGTTGGTATTTGGAGATATCTTTGACTGAAACTTAAAGATATTTTTAAACCTCAATAAATTGTTAGTCATACACAATTAATATTGAGATTTCGGCAATGAGTCGACGACATCGCAATTCATGAGAATGAGTTTGTACGTGATCCGAGATTTTAATAGTTAATATTTTTACAAAACATCGCTTTTAATATGATAATTGACTACAAGACAAGATACGTGAATAGAACTATAAGTTTTATTTTACGATCTTAAAACTATATACTATGACTTTACAAGATACGAAACTTAATAAACTTAATTGTTTTTACCAACAAAAGTACATAGAACATTTGAGCTTTGCGCGTATACATTATATACTAAGTGTATATAATGTATATAAAGAAGGATTTCTAATTATAATATAAAATAACCTAAAACAATTATTGTTTCACTAGAAATTGTACCCAATACGTCCGGGCCTTGTGGGTAGGTAAAGCAACTGAGGTAGTTTATTTCAATTATTAAATCGTTTACTAATCCTGAACTATTTCATTAGGTCTGTAATTTATTTCTAGCATTCACTGATTTACTTAGCAGGACAAGCAGAATTTGGGCGAATGTTGCGCAATTGTATTTAAATTCCGCAAGCCCTTTTATTGACGTCACAAAATTTATCTTGAAATCTCTAGACCTCATATAATTATGTTTATTTTAATACGTCATTTGTATTTAAATAGCATCATATTAACATAAACATAGAAAATTACTATATTTTAGTCCTTGAAGAAGTCGTAAAATGTGCGGTTCAAATTAACTATGACTTTATTTTCACGGTTTATTAAATTAAGTTTATCTTTATACTACATACATTTATAAAACTAGCATGTTTGCATGTTTCAAATATATGAACTATGCCCTTTGGTTGTCAATAAAAGGCAACAATTTTTAATAAAAAAGTAGGATTGATAACCTCCTTTAGCGGTTTTTTGAAGTCGGTTAAAATCATAAGCAACAAAGACTTTGAATAATCGTATCTCTTTATTGTGAAAACATAGTTGCTACTACTTTTGTGTTATTATTTAAAAAATATGAAAGAAATTGCAGCGCCGTTGCGGGACAGGACGACTTACTTAGTTGTCCTTTATTAAGTCGTAAAACATTGATTAAAATAACAATTAAATAATACGACCTAGGGTCCTTCAAGAAAAGAGCGTACCAATTCATGAAAGGCCGGCAACGCACTTGCGAGCCTTCTGGCATTGTGAGTGTCCATGGGCGGCGGTATCACTTAACATTAGGTGAGCCTCCTGCCCGTTTGCCTCCTATTACATAAAAAAAAAAACAAATCACACCAACTTTACCGCATTAATAATAGTAATAGTAATAATAATAAATCGATTCAAAATGTTTCAATAGGACGTAATACAGTCGAAAAGGCAAAATTTCCTATAAATTGCTTATATTTATAAGCTTCATAAATTAAAATGTGAATTAAAGATATATTTTTTTGATTCAACCTAAACTGAAACCCATCCGTTCCGCTCCAAAACGTCACTTTCAAATAACTTTTTATGCATAATATGACTGTGCATACATTGGACTTTCTCTTGACGAATATTCTAAGCATTTATTTGCAGAGACAAAAGCATGGTTTCTCCGTTTATTAGCCCACACAAAGATATGGATTGTTAAAGAATTACATTAGGCTTGAGGAAGTATAAGTAAGAGAGACAAAAATCTGAAGGAGGAAGTATATTAGAGTAAGAAAGCTTTTAAATTACAAAATACCTATAGCCTATGCTCTTCTGAAAACATATCTATCATTGAACTATCTTTCTTTCATGGCGAATCACTTCCTGTCGCTATACCTACGCTTAGCTCTATTTCCTTTAAATCTCTACTGCACAAGCATTACCTGTCCACTCATCTTAAGTGATCACTTTCACATTAACTGATCTAACTAATCGTAATTCATGTGTCCTTCTTTTTGTTGTCCTTTTCTTTATCTACAAATGTTTTAGTTTTTTGTTGCATTCTTTATGTCTAAGTAATTATATATCTTATGTAATTTTGGACTTCTTGCCCTTATCTTATTTAAAAATATTTTATCCCCACAGTGGTTGTCTGGCAGAGATCGCTCGAAAGGGATATGGACACAAGTTCCCCTTCTTTATTTTATTACCTTAATTGTACTATATTTCTTATAACAAAGTGTAAATAAAAAAAATATAGTTGCACGCGTATACCTTTATACACGTATTTACTGTCTGTGCACTGCCTTAGGTTTACCTTATCAATAGATAGGCTATTGATAAGGTAAACCTAATATTCTTATTAAATCTAAAGAATAATAATTATAATGTATGCAAATCGTTTACGCGTAATGAAGATATCAAAAGCTGTTAAGCGATATCCTCACAAACAATTAGATCTAATTATTGAGATTAGCCAGTAATACATTGTTGCTACTAATTTAAAATTATTTCCGCTCTAAAAACACTTATAATAACCCGTGACATCGTCTATGTCTGTTGTCGTCTATAGATCTGTCACACAGGCAAATATTTAAATATTAATAATAAGTTGGGCAACAACCCATTTCTATGGCCTCAGTTTTCCGCGTTTTGCGTTGAAATTATTCTTCATTAGCGCGTTAGTGATTAGGTATAGGAAAATTAACTTAATTAATAATTTAATCTTATGTAGTAGCTGTAATCGTTTCTATAGTTACAAGTCTTTTGGTAGACTTTAGAATTTTAATACATACTCGTAAACTTACGTACCTATACCATAAACCTAACACTAATAATAAACATAATTATCCAACAATGTAACCATGGTTTCTCATGGCACTTATGTCCAAGTAATCTATGACATAATCAGTAATCATCTCTAATTATATTATCCTGGAGGTCTGATGACTTCATTTGCAATCAGTAATATAATCATTGTTATTTGTTTATTTATTTTTTATAATCAAATACAGAAATGCCAAACAACTAATTGAAAACATAGTGTTAGGCTGATTAAATTGTATCATTCGCGTTATTTAGACTTTAAAGTTATAGGTATGATTTATTTTATAGTATAGAATATTGAATATATGTGTGCTTTTTATTTATAGATAACGGGCTTTTACTTGCTCCTGATCGTATTTTCCTATAATACATAATTATATTTTCTCCATGTCTTCCAGCTTATAAAGAAAAAAATCATGAAACTAACCAAAAACTACTTTAACATACATACACCCTGAAAAAGGTTAATTCATTATGGTATCGAGTATTATTATCATATAGATAATACTTTTAAGTATATATGTAATTCTGCCAAATATTTTGTACTTTTATTTGTATTTATTTTTCATAGTTTTTATGTGTGTTAGTACTATCGGTGCTAGATTAGAATACAAATTAATTTTGACTCTAATTTGCTTTTACTCCGTACTTTATCATTTAGAACATCCCACAACCATAGTCAAGGTTAGGCAGATCTCAATGCAGCGCCCCGCCCACAGGCTGACGCACCGCTGTTGCAATCATTCGCTGACTTTAGATTTTATCAGCTTCATTAGTTTCCGTATGACGTCATTATAGAATTTTTATAAAACCCATTAATATTACAAGGATCTATTCTCAACCCAGACACGTGCGTATGAACTAAACGGATTTCTATGTGAGCAATAAGCAATTCGTGTTAAAAATCAAGGCTAATCACGTCTTTTCTTATAAGAAACATGATTAATAAAACAGACTCAGAAATAACCCCATAGAATCTAACAAGTAACCACGGCTGGGACTTATTATTGACTTTTTAACTATTGTTAGCCTATCATTACTCGATATAAGCGCGTCATCTTAGCTAGTGAACCATCCTTTTTGTCACTGTGTAATTAAAATCTAGCTCATGGGTCTATCATGAGTTTTATAAAGCTATATAAAACTCATGATGATGTTTGTTTGGTTAATCCCTGGGTACTTACTTACCTTTAAGTTAATTCATTAATTTTTTGTCTCAGTCGTATTTACAGCGTGTAATATTTTTTCAAAGTTACCTTAGTCCAACTGATTAAAGTATATGACAGCAAAGAAAGATGACATTATAACAAAAGGCAGAGCCTTCTTCTGCAAACTAGGGAGACAGCTAACACGACTCTATTTATACTAATATTACAAAGAGAGATTGTATTTTTGTAATGAATTAACTGAAAATCGACTGGACCGATTTCAATTGCATCACCATCAGATTGCGTCATAATCGCTAAATAACATAGGGTATAATTAAGAATGTATTTTATAAAATAAATGCCATGCCATGCGAAGCCGGGACAGGCCATAATCACTTATCTGAAGCTGTAGACTCAATAATTAAAAGTTCGACAAAACTCAAATGAAGTAGGTGCACTTCTACTAAACGTGTTTGAGAGGAGATAGCGTGAATTGCACTTGACTGCTAGGACCCTGTTACCTCCGTTAAAACTGCTCTTTGTTACGAACGTTTTATGCTTCCTTAAATGTTGCTGTTTAATTAAGAGATTTCATTAAGTTGATACTATGCTTGAATTGACAGGAAACTTTAGACGTATTATAACAAAGTTTTTATTTCTATTTTATAGGTACTTCGAAGTTAGATCGATTATAGTTTCGTCTTTAAACGTGCGACGCTTTATACGTTATATATTCGCGTTATATAATTATCTTCGCAGTTGACACGTATACTTAGTTACTCCTCTGGCACAACGACCCTCAGAGTCTTCGCCTTGGAGACAAGACAACGATCTTGCGCTGCTGCTTGCTTAATTGCTATTAATCGATATCTGGGCTGTTGGTCCATTAATATTCCTAGATATGCTTTATTGACACTCCAATCCTCTTCCATTCTCTCTAGGTGACCAGTACAGCAGAGTCTATCGGCTTTAACTTTCCTTGTGATAACTTTAACGTTCCTTGGGTTGGGGTGCCATAACATGAATACCCTCATTTCTTAAAACCCAAACTTCATCTTCCATTTAATTTGGACACGCCAATTTTTCTTTTGCCTACCAATAGTTTTACTTTTTCATCTCTTTTTACGAAACAACGATAAAAACAAATCGAAAACTCGATCTGTTGAAACACTGCAGGTCGTATGTAGGAGTATGGTTAGGAAACTCTATTACTACTATTATAAAGAGAATACGAAAGATTGTATTTTAGTAACGAATTAACTGAAAAGGTACGGGACCGATTACTTCGTCATAATCGCTAAATAACATAGGTAGGGTATATATATATAATTAAAAATGTATTTTATAAAATAAATATTATTATTATCTGTACCCCGAAATAGGTGTCAGTCCCATGCCCCGTTGAGGATAAACGGGCTTACATATTCAGCCCTGCAAACATTATATTAAACATTTTACCAGCAGCAGAGCCAAGTTCCAACCATCTATTGTTTAGCACAATTGGCGATTTCCGCTATTAAGTATGATAGATCCAAGATAAAGGTTGTTTCACAAACATTTTGACGGTCGATCCATATCGCGTTATGAGAGTATTTGCCGCCTTGTGTTTGTAAACAATGATTTTGTTATCTATGGCCTATTAATAGACCATCTGTGGTCTAGACATAGACAATTGTTTTAATGAATTTTGGAGGTTGTATCAATGTCTTTATGATGCTTTATTATTTTTGGGGTAAATACTAATGGTATGTGAGAATAATTTAAGTACTGCTTATGACATCATAGCCTCGACTCTTGGGGACACAGCATTTGTTTCATATATGAATACACACAGTAGGTTGATTATGGTCGGACAAGAAACTCAACCGGTAAAATTTTGTGCTATTTGTTTAAAGTGAAGTCCTTGGAAGTTCAGAATACCCACCATAATTTTGCAGGGCCTGCCGCGGCGTCACAGGCGTCGAGGTAAGAGCCTCCCCAATACTTTTATTTCCACCATGATACCGTGATCATCTACGAATTGTTCATCAAAACAGAAACAATGTTGGTCCCATGTCTCACTGATGTTAAAAGTTTATAAACAAGTGGATATGTCACATAAATCCAGAAAATTATTTATCCAAAAATAATGAACATAACAGTTACAGTCAGTTCTTCATTTTTAAAATTTACGTAATTCCATCAAATTTGTGGTATGAAATTGATATTATACGCCCTATTTTAAATAATGTACCAGATTTGTAAAGGGTGAGCCGCACGTGCGCGCTTCGACAACCCTTCCGACAATCACTTCCGATACTTCACTGTTAATCGATTTATTATAAAACCTCCAACATAGATTATCCTACTAAAAATAATAGACCATAAATAAAATACCTTTCATAGTATTTCGCAGCACATTCACAAAGTACGATGTTTTTTAAACTACTCAAAGTTTAAACCACTTTAGGTTAAAAAATGATATACTATGTATCAATTATCAAGGATATTATTTACGGAAAGAAACTATTTTGTCATATTGAGTAATGAATTGTCAACATTTTGTGCCCCCTTTTCATGGTTGTGTGTTTCGGACACTAGATTTGAAAAAAAATGGAATTACTTTATGTTAATTTCTATATTCACGGTAATCAATCTAATTCATATTTTATTATGACAATAGAAAATCGTTATTTACCCCTTTTCACCCCTTGCTTAATTTGTCTATAATGAACCGTCAAACATCTGTTAGAAATAAAATAATTCCAATTAACACAAAAAGAAACCAATTACTAGAATAAAAGCAAAAATTCACGCATCTGCCTCGCCCCAAGAGTTACTTTTCAAAACCAATGGGGTTAAAACAATGATTGGCTTAAACATGTTCAATTTGAAAGGAAAATACTTAAAAGTTACATTACATTACGTACGCACTAAATAAATATATATTAAAAAAAAACCACTGTGGTATACATATTCTACCTCAACTATCCCAAACAAAAATATTTTTTTCTATTCGAACCAGTAAGACGAGTGTTAGCTTCAGCGCGCGACTCTCATCCCTGAGGTCGTAGGCTCGATCCCCGGCTGTACACCAATGGACTTTATTTCTATGTGCGCATTTAACATTCGCTCGAACGGTGATGGAAAACATCGTGAGGAAACCGACATGTCTTAGACTCAAAAAATCGACTGCGTGTGTCAGGCACTGGAGGCGATCACTTACTTGCCTATTAGATTGAAAAATGATCATGAAACAGATTAAGAAATCTGAGGCCCAGAACTAAATAGGTTGTAGCGCCACTGATTTATTTTTATTGGCTTGAGATTAGGACTTTCAACCAAACTTTAGCTTTGAAATATTATTAAAGATTATAAACTAAAAAATTCTACCTAAGCAAGTTGCATACGTTGTAAATGCAAATATTTCTTAACTATTTTACAATAAAACAAATTACACAGTTCAGGCATGAAGTATTTGATGTGGCTCTTAAATACTTGAGTTAAAAATTGTGTAATGTTTGCGAAATGAGATGTTTAAACGTTTAAAATAATAAACTCAAGCCTTTTCTTACAAACTTTTGTTCGAAACACCAGGAAATTGTGATGATTGATGTGATGATTTTAATATAAATTACCATACTTAGCGTCTACTCCGGGATAAGCTTTTCCCTTCGAAAATGATTTCTGCATTTCGTTATTTAAGGAACTGTTAATTTTTTAATGCTAATACTTACGTTCGCGTTAAGAATTACTTCAGAAGCAAAAGTTTTATCCTTTTATAAATTATTAGGTTACTGTTATGGCTTAAAACTGTTTAAAATATGTTTTATTCATATTATTTCATAATTGGAATTAAACAAAGAAAAGAAGGTAATTGACATTTTCATTAACGCATTGTTTTAATTTAAAATTAGAATTATGACGTCAAGCTGATGAATTAAAAAAGTTTGATGCTTATCTGTACCCATACATGTCGCTTATCTCAAACAGTTTTAAGATTCAAATAAAAAGACCTTCCTGAGAATATTCTCACGCCAATTTGATCAATTATAACACTTGCTGTTCCTAATCATAAATTTCGATGTATGACGAATTCGTACACAGGTGTGAAAATGTTGAGACAGCATAAATCTTAGGAGTACAGCAAAAAGTTTAATGAATAAAATATATATTTTAAAAGTATCATTAGGTAATATTGAACGGATATACTGTATTTTTACAAGGATACGTTGGTTACAGAAACAGTTGCAATAATGATATATTTATTTGTTTATTTCATATTATAAATTGGCCAATTTGTTATAAACTTATTATTAAAACCTATGTTAGGAATCAAGTGACAAAACTTAAAACCTATTATACATTACAAGATAAATTTAACATAACATTAGTTATTATTCACAGTAGACTTATTTTAGATACAATTTTATATTTTCTTATGTAAAGACTAAATGATTAGGTACTAACCCGTTTAAGTAATTATGATAAGACATTTTTATGCCAAGTTCAAGTAACAAGTAACGTTCTTAAAATAAGACATTACTCTCACTTCAAAAAATCTTAAAATTACGAGGAAGCAGTTTCCAAATTTTCCTCTAACTGTTAAGAGTCGTGTGAAAAGCAGACTTCAGGCAAACTGTTACCAACACGATAATTGCTTTTAGCATATACAGTCATAAATAACAGTTATATCGCTTATCTTCAGGATCGGCTTACGAAAGCGCGGCCAGAACAAGCAGAGCGCGACGTGCCGTTACTGCTACAATTACGAATGGGCTACAGGACAATTTACAGAAGATATTTGTGGGGACTGCGATTAATACGCCTCCGTGGGGTGACAGCGAAATAAGTATTTCGCGTTGGCACAGAGTGTTAACATTACCTATTTGCCTAAAATTATTAATAGTATATATCTGTCTTGAATTCCATAATAATAACAATTAACTCTCTCAGAAATATTTTTTTTACTATGGAAAATATAAAAGGGTGACGGACGGGACTGGACCCCATGATGACATTCAATGGCATCGTGTAAGGGGTAAAAAAAACCCAATGGCACTACAACCTTCTTAGGTCTGGGCCACAGATTTCTGTATGTGTTTCATGATCAATGTAATGGGCAAGTAGGTGATCAGCCTCCTGTGCCTCCTGTGACACACACCGTCGACTTTTTGGGTCTAAGGTAAGCCGATTTTTCTTTACCGTTCGAGCGAATGCACATAGACAGAAAGTTCATTGGTACACAGCTGGGAATCGAACTTACGACCTCTGGGATGGGCGTCGCACATTGAAGCCACTAGTCCAACACAGCTCTAGGGCGAGGTATAACTGAGATTATTTATTGCTATATTGTGAGAGCTTGATCGATTATTCTTATAAATGAGTGCTATTAGCAATATTGTTTTATCATTACTCTGCATTTTCGTGATTTATATCTTTTTCTGTTGGAAAATATTTGAAATTAATTGAAAATCTGGTTTATTTTTTAACATAAAAGCCACAATTAAAGTGTCAAACAATTGAAATTTGCCTCGCTTCAGCGCAAACAGTTACATACTTTCTAGTATTGTCAGTGACAATCTGCACGTATCAAATTGTGTAGAAAATTGTTAGGTAACTGGCGTGGCTTCTGTCTGCTGACATTACCGTGTGCTGCTATGGGTGGAATTCCGTAGGTTGCTTAAGGCGAAGATTGCGATTTAAATGTCTTAAACCAATTGTTCAAAGGAGTTTCTATTTGATATGCTTTCGTGAAAAAATATGATTAGTTTTGTTTACCTTTACTTCAGATTCGCAATATCACTGGTATTAGCAGATTTACTGCAATTTATCCCCCTTCCTCTTGTCAAAAGTAAGCAAAGCTCTCAAAAATAAAAGTAGGTACATAAACGTATTAATTTTTTGTAGGAATCCTCGAAAATGAATTTCGTTTTCGAGCATAGACAATGTGATAATGACAATGGGTAATATGTGTAAAGAAGTAAAAAATTACTGTTAACGTAATCACCAAATAAGAAAATCAAAGACCCCCCTCCTAGTGCTTACGTAACAT